TGTGATATGACTGAAACAGTTGTTGACTGTGATGGGAAATAACCATTAAACATCATTTACGTTTACTTAGAAAAAACCCTCCATAAATATATAGTTTATTGCAATAACCTAAACCAACACACAAACGAAACGTTACCAACCAGCATTGTTTTTCCTAAAAACAGAACCAATGTGAAGGAAGTAACTTATATTGTCAAACGCCCGTGAAGATCCGGGTTAGAATTGGTCTTCAGCAACCCATGCTTGTCGTAAAAGGCGACTAACGGGATCGGGTGGTCAGGCTCGCTGACTTGGTTGATGCATGTCATCGTAACCCAATTGCGTGGATCGATGCTCATGATATAATCACTGTATTGTCTGGTCCAGCCTCGATTATTTACGGACCACCGTCATATAGCTGGAATATTGCTGAATGCGGCGTTAAAATAACAATCCAACCAATTTTTTTGTCAAAAGACATGAATTTATTCAAACAGGGTTCGGGGATTCTGTGGAACTGTAGTACAACAGTGTAGAGATTGATCAATGTAACGTTGTCAAGTGATGTTTCCTTCCAAAAAACACCAGATCTGTCTTGACACCGCTAAACATACAGCATTGACAGGGCTACAGATGTCGCATTGACTTGGCTGCCGATGACATGCACGCACGTACACAAAAGCAATTCTAACCCGGATCTTCACGGGGTACAAAACACGTATTATTACAATTAGTTTACTGATAGTGTTTTAATGTATTGACGTTTTTCCTTCATATTTTTTACTTTATCTTTAATATCTTTGAAACTTGATAAGTGTTCATTATGGTCTGCGTGTCTCACGAGACGCTATAAACCTTTAAACTGTCTCATAATGTCACTTTATTTCTTGAGATTAAATCAAAACAAAGTGCAAAACAAATCCCTCTTTCGCTGTGTACATGCATAGTGTATTTGTTCGTTAAATCTATAATACCGTATTTCCTCTATTAGACGCCTGGGTTACTTTCGCGCATGCCGTTGGCCCGGCGTCTGGTCTATTAGAGGAGGGCGTGTTTAGATTTGTTTGTTTGTTTGTTTGTTGTTTAACGCCGCCGCAATATTCCAGCTTTATGACGGCGGTCTGTAAATAAACATATTAGAGGCCCCGCGCGTATTTTGTTTAAGCTCAATTGCAACTTACTTCCTTACTGAATCCTAAACTCTACAGTCATACAAAGGGTACATTTGCAGGTAACGGTAATTTAGCATCCGGCGTGTATTGGAGTCCTGAGGTGTGTTAGAGAGCCGGCGATAGAGGAATTACGGTATTTCGAAATTATTTTAATTATAAGTGCTTTGTTGTTGAGACAGAATGGTAAATGAGATGTCGAGATCAAATGACGTCAACTGCACTTTTTTTCATTTGGGCTTAAAACTAACCCGTTTTATTTCACGAAAACGCTGACAGAGGGCAGAATGATGTATGCGATTTGGCTGTCGCTTAGCCCTAAATTGATATGAAACTTCTTTTTCATGGGCACTGCTATATTTCATCCTTAAGTTAATGCATTTATCCTTCGCGAATTGTGTCATAGTTCGCGTACCTGAGACAAGAATCATTGGTTTACTTCCATGTGAAAAATGTACGACTTTGTTAACAAATGAGGGAGTGAGTTGGCTTGGGTTAGTTCATGATGTTTCATTTAAATCTCAGCTAAGGTCATACAATCATATTTAACTTGGGTTGCGTTCAACAGTGTGTCATTTAAATCTCAGCTAAGGTCATACAATCATATGTTACTTGGGTTACGTTCAACAGTGTGTCATTTAAATCTCAGCTTAGGTCATACAATCACATATTCCTTTGGTTACGTTGAACGGTGTGTCATTTAAATCTCAGCTAAGGTCATACAATCATATTTTACTTGGGTTACGTTCAACAGTGTGTCATTTAAATCTCAGCTAAGGTCATACAATCATATTTTACTTGGGTTGCGTTGAACAGTGTGTCATTTAAATCTCAGCTAAGGTCATACAATCATATGTTACTTGGGTTACGTTGAACAGTGTGTCATTTAAATTTCAGCTAAGGTCATACAATCATATTTTACTTGGGCTACGTTGAACAGTGTGTCATTTAAATCTCAGCTAAGGTCATACAATCATATTTTACTTGGGCTACGTTCAACAGTGTGTCATTTGAATCTCAGCTAAGGTCATACAATCATATTTTACTTGGGCTACGTTCAACAGTGTGTCATTTAAATCTCAGCTAAGGTCATACAATCATATTTTACTTGGGCTACGTTCAACAGTGTGTCATTTAAATCTCAGCTAAGGTCATACAATCATATGTTACTTGGGTTACGTTCAACAGTGTGTCATTTAAAACTCAGCTAAGGTCATACAATCATATTTTACTTGGGTTACGTTGAACGGTGTGTCATTTAAATCTCAGCTAAGGACATACAATCATATTTTACTTGGGTTACGTTGAACGGTGTGTCATTTAAATCTCAGCTAAGGTCATACATTCAGTATACTGTGTCTGTGTGGGGTATTCGTGTTAAACTGCGGCATGGTATCTCAGTGGGCTAGCACTATAAGACTGGCATTAGTCCGGGCTACTACGAGCACACACACAAAACACACACACACACACACACACACAGTTGTTGATATTATGAGCAACGTATCACGCTGTCGAGGTGCGCACGCATCAACCGAGTCACCGAGCCTGACCACCTGTCCAAATAAATCGCCTCTTACCACAAGTAGTGCCGGGGCCATAGCCTTTATCACCACGTGGCATTATAGCTGTTATAGCAGTGGGTAAGCTTCAGTTCCTTGCATACAAAGTCAATAGGCAAAATGGTATACCTGGGGATGGTTGCCTAATGAGTACAATCTCCCCGAGAAACCCATCCGTTACCCGGTCGGTGGCAAGCCAGATATACAGGAGTTAGGGACAGTTGTGAAGACACAACGCTGTGCTGTCAAGATCGGTGGCGTGCGTCAACCAATGAGATTAATTGAGTTTAACCATGGACCTATATACAAGTCCGTGGTTTAACGCAAGATTCGAATTTTCTAATATGCAGTTCCGTCTGAATGTTTCCGCGCTGTTGGTTTTTTCTCATGCCTGGGCAATTTCTTTGGCACGTGTCATGAGAAGGTCAAGGAGGAAGGTACCACTTTCACATTCGTGGTTATACTTTCTCAGAAATTAATAAATAACCATTACAAGAAAATCCTCTAGGATAGGGTTGCTTTGGATGGTTTAGGTTAAGATCAGTCAAAGCTCAAGGACAGCGTTAACGTATACTAGTATATAAAACATGATTATAGTAGATCTTTCCTTAATGACTGTAATTGTTGTTTGTAATTCAAAATTGTTGTGACTTGATTATATACACATGTACTCTGGGCTGGAGGCCTTTATTACAGAATAAAAGAGTCTTGAAGTCTTATCAAAACTATCGAATCAAGTGTTAGTGCCATGTCAAGGTCATCTTTGATGCTATTGTTGAGACGTGGTTGTATCATTCATTGCACATAGTGCACCTTTACTTGTCCAGTTCTGGTATTTGGCACTAGTTGCGTCGTAAGAAGTTTTGATTTAGACCAATGTTTGGAAGTAATGTTTTTATTGGACTCGAAGGTCATGTAGAGAATTTTGGAGCATTTAGGAAATGGCACTGAGGGTAACTGTAAACACATCAAGTTGATAAATATAAAAATCAGAGTTTGTGGAAATACTTTATCAGAAAATGCACAATATTCTTCATAAACACTCGTGCCCCTACCAACCTGAAACCGAAACCACACCTGACTCCCCTACAAAACCCCAACCTCGCTCGTGTCCATACAAACTCATAACCGACCTCACCGTGTCCCTACCAACCCCAACCGTGCCCCTACCAACCACAGGCCGCGTGGTCTAGTGGTAGAGCGTCCGCCCAGAGATCGGAAGGTCCGGGGTTCGACCCCCTGCCGCGTGATACCAAAAGACGTTAAAAGATGGTACTTGTTGTTACCCTGTCTGGCGCTCGGCATTAAAGGGGCTAAAACAAGGACTGGTCGGCTCGGATTCAGTATACTGAGTCTGAGTGGGGTATTCATGTCAAACTGCGGCATGGTATCTCAGTTGACTAGCACTTTAAAATCGGCATCAGTCCGGAATAGTTCAAGCAGCCACACACACGCGGGCATGCACGTCGCCATATAAGTGCAATAATCTTGGACGCGACGTTAAACCCCATTTCACCTCACCTACCAACGACACCCTTGTCCTCACGAACCTCAGCCTCACCCGCCCCTAGCACCCTACTGTCACATCATTAAAATACATCTTCCCGAGGCAAGGGCGTTAACTGACTATGAAAGTCCAGTTTCCACGGAAATTGGACTTTTATAGTCAGTTGACGCCATTGCCTTTGGAAAATGTTAAAACCACGATGGTTGCTTATATATTGATTATTTTACGTCCGCTTCTAGAAATGACGTCACGTGAAAGACAGTGAAGCGTTCATAAAAGCTAATCAATCAATAACGGCACGACTGCGTGGGTACTCTTATTAAAGATACCTTAAAATATAGATGACAATGAAACATAGTGTACGTCAAAACGATTTAAGTCATACCTTTAACATCAATACAGAAAAACATGTTTAATAAATTCGACATTACTCCAAAAGCGGTTAACCGCTCATACGCTAAGCACTGTGTTTATCAACATTCCCACGTGTTCCAACTACTATCCATACAACTTATTACAACTTTCTAATGCTACGCCTTCTTGTTGAAGAACATTGCATATATATCATATTCATATTTACTTTTAATACCCAACTCGTGATGGGCGTTGTTTTTCTTTGTTTTATTTATGTCATTTACCAGATTGAATTATTAAAAGCCTGTGACAAAAAGTTTGGTTTGCTGTTAATCGTCTTCATGATAATAGTATGGAAATGTTTTGGCGTTTTCGGGAAGCCGTCTTCTACAATGTTTTAACGCAGACTATGCAATACATTACCTTTATAAAGCAGCCTGCATCTACAGTACGTAACACACAACAGTCACTGCACTCACGGCGAGGTGTCATGATTATCAAATGCATAAAGTAACACGATAGTTAACTCTCTGGACCAATCTGATCTGGATAACGACAGTCGACGAGATTAGAAACTGCACCGATTCATTCGAAGAAAATGGAGCCTTGTATCTTCCACGAGAACAAGACAGGGTTTGAGTGCTTACGGCGACAGTTACAACGATCTAAAGTTTTACCTCGTCACCTCTCACCGCGTCTTGCAATGGCTGTCTGTTCGTGCAGGAAGACACGTAAGAATTTCTTTCATAATCACATCTTTAACCTCAAGTGTGATTATTGGACCTCAACATGTTTACTGAAGATAACTTGTTTATTCTGAAGAGAAATATGTTTAGGTCGTTTATTTTATGTGCATACGATTACAACAAAATATTCCCGGTAAAATGCAGTCATCGATTCTGGTGCAGTTTGTTAGTAGATTCGGTGTAGAATATGTCTTCAGCAACCCATGTTTGCCGTAAATATAAAAGGCGTAATATAAAATGCGACTATGCTTGCTGTAAGATGCCATTAACGGGTGGTCAGACTCGCTGCCTTGGTTGATGCATGTCATCGTATCCTAATTGCGTGGATCGATGCTCATGATGCCAATCACTGGATTGTCTATTCCAGACTCGATTACTTACAGACCTCTGTCATATAGCTGGAATATTGCTGAGTGTGGCGTTAAACAACAAACAAACAGACTCGGATACATGTGTAACAACCGACATATTGCTATCCTGAAAGACACGACGTTAACTTCAACAGATGTTTGTGTTTAGAAGTACATTACTTTACATTACATTACATTACATTACATTTAGAATACATTACTTTAGTTAGACAATATCTGCAAAATCGATAAATGCAGATGTATCAGCATATGGCTTTGTAATGCAAGGACCATGTTTCATGAAATTGAGTATTCAGTTGCCATTTGTATCATAGCCAACATATTTATAGTCACGATATGGCTCCACTACTGTCGATGTGACTATTTTAACACAATCTCGTATAAATGAACAAAACGTCCTTAACTTGCAACACCCAAGGAAACTATGTGTTCACAATCTTGCTAAACATCGATTATTTTGTAGGCACAGCAACGATCGACATATCAAATGAAGACTTCTCCAACCTAAAACAGACCTTGAAAATACATTTCGACCAGTGGATCAGCACAGCATCTTCATCAGCATTGGCCGTAGCTTGGAAAGTTCTCTGTACTGACTCTGCTCCCACCTCAAGTGAAAAGTGTCTTCTGTATATTATTGAACGCGCCTTAAAAGGGGACTTCACTCTCCTGGAGGCGGAGAAGAAGACCTGTACAAGGTGGTTGCTGACAGGGGATGCCGTACCTAACAGTGGAAGCAATGACGACAACGACAATAGCAGCAACAAAGCCCCTAAACTGACACAGAGGCAAAAAGGACTGATGGTTAAGAAGCGTAAACGCAAAATGCCCATCCGTGGTAGTGTCCATATTCCTCTGAACGGAGACCATATTGTGTTGCTTTATAAGGCTGTTGGCGCGCAGTTTGAGAGAATATTTCATAAATTTAAATGTGTCATCGAAGTGGACTGGGAAGCCACTAACAGCAATGTAGAGAGGAGCATCAACCTGACGACTTTGTCGGTGTGGTGCCGGTCGAGTCAGACACTCACTGACATCAGACGCTACCTGCAGGAGATGCTCAGCGACAGGCGACACATACTGAACGTCATGAATATGAAGGTATATATATATGTTTGTTTGTTGTTTAACGCCGCACTCAGCAATACTCCAGTTATCATGGTTATATGATGATGGTCTGTAAACAATCAATTCGCCTCTTAACAATTTTTCTGGGGAAAATGTAAACATGAAATATCAATATTAAATTCCTAAGATCAATGAATTTTATGTATATTGTTCGGCATCACTCTACCTACCCAATATCTAGATATGTATCTGTCGAGGTGTGTATAGGCAATCAGCATGTATAAAAGTCTGAGACAATCAACAAATTATTTATATGCCGATTTTGAGCCGATCTCGACGAATTGAACTCCGCTCTAGTAAAAACAAATTGTTAAACACATTTGTAGATACCAGCCTGGCTCGGTGTAGCGCCAGCGCAGCATACCGAGAGAACCAGGCTGTTGTAGATACGTGAAAGCAGCCTAACCTTGCCATAGAAGCCTGTACTAAGAATGGGCGTGATATACAAACATGTTTCTTTCATATAAATATCACAATTGCGTATTTATTAGAGTCCGGCGATTTAAATATTAACGGTATAGCTGAATCATCTGCATCTGTGTGTTTTCAGAGAAATACACACCGTGACGATGACACACCGATTGAACATGACATTCATCTCAGCTGTAAGTATTTCTTGTATACATTTCATTTCGTTATTTTGTGACAGCAAATGGTTATATTTATCGTTTAAAATGACCTCTTCTATTCAATGGCGTGTTACCAAAATAACTCTTTCTAGGCACAGACATTGAGTTCTTAACCAGTAAATATAGAATGTGTTATAAAATTATTCTGCATATAGACTGGTTCTTTGTTGTATTTGCATTGCATCACCTTTTAATCTGAAAGATTTTTTTCGAGAAGTATTCTGAAGAATCAATGTGTTGGGAATTCCATCAACACCTGATATCTTCTGAGAGGGCAGAAAAATAAATTAAGTAGTTTGGGATATATTTTCTGAGATTTTTTTCTTGGAATTCCCTCAATTCCCTGATATCTTCTCACAGGGCAGAAAAATAAATTAAATAGTTTGGGATATATTTTCTAAGATTTTTTTCTTGGAATTCCCTCAATACCCGATATCTTCTCACAGGACAGAAAAATAAATTAAACCTTTTGGAATATTTTTTTCTAAGATTTCAATCTTGTCCCATTATCTGTTTTCATTATTTCAGATCAGCTGACCGATCACTTTACTGAGAAAGTTCTAGGGCGGAAAAGACATCGTAACAGGTAATATGTTATATGCTTGTGCATGGTTTCATTAGAGAAGTTTTGCTTGTTGTTTAGGGTATTGTTCCAGCTATCTGACAGCAACTTGTTAATAATCAGTAATACTCCAGTGATTGATATTATGAGCAACGACCCACGTCATCAGGGTACGATAACACCCAATCAGCCAAGTCATCGAACAAGATCTGCCACCATATATACTCATGGCAAAAAATATGGGAACAAACGAATATTGCTGAGGAAAATAGGTGAAAGAGTAATGGTATCAGTTCACACTCTTTACTCGTATGCTGGATGATCCAATTACATGTGTTCCCTTTTCTTTATTCACGTGAATATCTCTATGTTTGCAGGTGCAGGCAGTCGCGCCAGCGTGTCAAGTCGCTTCCGTCAGCGTTGGACACAATGCTGTGCGACAGGTGTCAGCAACCCTACTCTGAGGTGTTGTACAAGGATATACCCTGCAGCTTCCACCCCGGACAGAGAGGTCAGTGAAGTCTCTAATTGTTACTGGTCGCCCAGACTTCAAAGAGTTACATCCCTTTTGCATGTCAGGATCCTATAAATAATCATGGGTTCGAATCTCATGGATCATAATCTTTGGTTTGTCAACACTATTGGTTTTACTGACAATTTACTTCACTTCCGGCTTACCTGCTACATTAGAGTAACTGAAACTTTGGGAAGATCCAGACTAGAATTGGTCTTCAGCAACCCTTGCTTGTCCTCCGTGAAGATCCAGACTAGAATTGGTCTTCAGCACTCCATGTTTGGCCCCCATGTAGATCTGGGTTAGAATTGGTCTTCAGCAACCCATGCTTGTCCTCTGTGAATAGGGGTTAGAATTGATTGGTCTTCAACAACAAATGTTTGTCGTGAGAGGCGACTAAAGGGATGGGATAGGATAGTTGATGCACATCATTGTATCCCATATTGTGTAGATCGATCAAGATGTCAATTACTGGATTGTCTGGTCCAGACTCGATTCTTTACAGACCGTCGTCATATAGCTAGAATATTGCCGAGTGTTGCCTTAAACAACAAACAAAGATATAACTGAAATATTGTTCTAAGCTGTGTAAAGCAAAACTGACTTACTCATCGCAGATGTTTTTGAAAATAATTTCTTGGTACCAGAGGGCTCCTTGTGACAGGGGTAGTGGGGTCATCACGCCGAAGACACGGATTCAATTCCTGACATGGGTACAATGTGTGAAGCCCATTTCTGGTGTCCCCCACCTTGATATTTCTGGAATATTACTAAAAGTGGTGTAAAACCTCACTCACTAACTCACTCACTCACTCACTCCTTGTGTCTGGTGCCATCGTTGTAGCGGGATTGAAAGGTTTTTGACATTTTTATATATACAGTGGTCCCTCGCTACAACGCTACCAATGGGGTCCAAATAATTGGTGGGCGTTATAGACGATGAGCCGTTTAACCGAGGCCGAGGCGGGGGAGAGCACTCGGCCAATCTCACGATCTTCGCCTCGTCTCGCACATTGCAATGATACAAGTTGTTTACCATTCATAGTGTAAAAATATATATTCATTATGTTTTCGCCGTTTGTTATTATTTACAATCCTTAACTGTCACATTCAATGTGAATGTAGTCTACTTACATGAAAATATCGATCGATAATGGTAGTAACAGACGCTATGAGTGAAGAGCCAATCACAATTCATTACACAAGTACAGAGTGATTCAGTGGCATTGATTGGTCATGTATTCAAATATGTTTGTGATTAACCCGACCTTGAAAAATATTGAAAGATGAGTGGTAACTATTTATGTCATTATTTCAAATTAGAATGATAGCACATCAGGAAAGCATGGCACTTTAATATACGTATCTTGTTAGCCCAATAGTGTTTTAAGTAAGAGCAACATATATATCGAGAGTAAAGGTTTGGTGCGTGACTTATCTCACATTACTCTCAGAAAGTGTGCATATTCTGTTTATCGGCAATAAATGACATAAGGCGATTCATGCGGGTAAATACGATTTACTTCAGAACTAGTATAGAATACTTTAGGTGAAACTTTGTATGTAATTAACAGAACTTTGGATTTCGGCAAGCTTCGTGCTCAGGGGGTTGTTTGGGCGGGTTCAAAGGATTCGGGTCCTGGCTTGGGCTTTGTGTTGGACGTGTAGACGGCATTTCCAGGTTTGACGTATCAATGACCAAAATGATGTCTGATGCAATTCTCTGTTTTGACTTGTACCCTGTGTTTCCTTGCCTTTTCGGGTGATCACTCAATTGGCTTGCATTTGCATGTGTTTGAGGCGGGTGCCACCAGTGGATCGGGATGAGCTCGCCTTTTTGCGAGCACCAAGTGTCATCATTTTTTATGGTGAATAATGAAACATGCTCCTGGTGTTGTCGGAATCGTGCAGTTGGCGCTACTTTTGGCAAGGGTTTCTTGTGATGATGGAATGGCTTATGTCGTTTTTGTCAACTGATAAACATGTGATATAATGTCAGTGTATATGGTCATGTAATTAAGAAACAAACCGCGAGTGGGAGTTGTTTATTGTACGATAAACAACGACCACGACTCGTTTATTTCTTATATGAGATATCAACATTTTAAGGGTGTTAAATTAGGAAAAAGTACACGCTTTAAAAATATTTACCCGTACTTAACTTATGATGACTCCCTGAATAGAATCCGACCGCGTCATTGCCAGATAAATCCATTTTATGAACAGGAGGGGTTGAATTTGGTCTTTTCCGTATATTCAGGAGGGGTTGAATTTGGTCATTTCCGTATATTCTCATAATTTCCTCGTCGATTATATGTACCTTTTCTCCCAATACCGATTGTCATTTCGCTCTCACTTTCGGATGCGATTGTTCCAGCAATTATCTACCTTCCCCAGCTACACTTCCCTCTCACAAATAACGTCAAATTTACAACGTCCTCAAGTTGCGAGTGCATGTTCGAATCTCAATAAATGCGTCATGATAGAACAATGTTTTATCGTGAAATGTATATATCGGTTCCTTCTTCTTTGTTCTTTGCGATTTATCGCGTAGCTGTCTTTGTTTATGGACAAGCATAGTAGCCTATAACGGTGTGTGTGTGTGTGTGTGTGTGTGTGTGTGTGTGTGTGTGGAAGAATTGTACAGCATAAAAATGACTACGTAGTTCGGGTAGATATGTAGAATGCCCGGCCAGTATGACCTTTGAGACACCATATTTTCAGTCATTAAAATGCGTAAAAGAAAACATTATAAGTGAATGAAACAAAAGACATCAGTACAGGCACATCAAGACCCCCAACACCAAGTCTGCATGTATCAATACTCATACCTGCCACATCCTCAACCACTTAACTTACTTACACAATCATCTCACTTCATGTTCGCCAACCCTCGTATCACAACGCACGCACGCACGCACGCACGCACGCGCACACACATCGCATTCATCTTTCCCCTTTATCCCTACAACCATCTCATTATGTCTACGTCAGCCATCATGGATACATGCGCATGCTTACATTCATAATCAATCCTCCCACAATTCCCCAACATAGATCGAACTATAACTATATCCGCCTTCATGTATCGGTATTCGTCGCACTATAACTATATCTATAACCGCCTTCTTGCATCCGCACTCATGTTCACATTGCATTGCATGCATCGAATACACACGTTTAAAATATCGTAAATATTTTACAATATGTACATATTAAATATCAGCAAACAGAGAGTATTATAACGCAATAGATTTCATCCGTCAAAACATCACAGAAAGAAGGGCAGCCTGGAAATTTACAATGACATCAGAATGCACTGACGTTCAGCTGGTCAGGAGGTGAGAGTTGCGGAAAATTATGATAAACTTCAGATCTCCATTACGAATATCTAAAGTGTGAATAAGGATCACAGCTTGCTATAAAGTGTACTTCATCCTGAGCCTTGCGCTTTCCTAATTATTTTGACTAAAATTATTAACGTTATCATTGTATTAGTTAATGGGAAATGCGTGCCGATCAAGTACGTGCCATAAATTAAAGCGACATTGTACGATTCCGAACTTATCACGAGACTGTGTTTATGAATCATTGTCAAAAAGTTGTGACATAGTGGAAACAATACGCGAAATCGCGCATGCACAGAACAGAACATTTGGGCAAGGCATTAAGCAAACCGCATGCGCAGAACGATTGATTTCAGTACTTCCGCTTAAGCGCTTCGAGTATATGGTCAAACTCGGGCCTGTAATCTAACATGCGAGAACTGGCCAATGAAATCTGAGAAGTAGGAATATCGGTAGACGCTGTTGCTTGATAGACAATGTCAATCAAGAAAGGGAGGAGCTTGATGATATCGTTCTCTTCCAGTAAATTCCTATGTCAAATATCGACGTTATTTGGACGGAAAAACGATGGTTTGAAAGCGTCCAAATAACGTCGTTTTCCCGTCCAATGACCATATTCGGAAAAAACGACGTTTTCGTGTTTGCAGTGTGTGTCGCTTCGTCTTCCATGTCAAATACATTAATGATTTTTAAAAAATATAATTTAATACTACTATGACTTTTACATTATAACTAAAATTATGAAGTCTTGCATGTCGAGCCAACAAACTATTGTACATTTTATTCACATTGGAATTTTTGTTTACTGTGTTTACGGTGGGGTCCAGACAATTCCCCAAATGGACAATTCCAAATACCACTGCGTAAAATATTAATGCCGATTTGGAGAAAATTACCAAATGGATGAAAGCAAGTAAAATTGAATCCAGAGAAAACAGAAACTTTTCTATTTCACGTTAAAGTCTTCCCAAGTGCAAAACCTAATCTTAAAATGAAAGGAATTAATATTTATGACTTTGGGAATAATATTTCAGTCAGATTCTGATATTGACGATAGAGTTAAAAAGGAAAGCCCTATGATTAATTGCCTTAGAAGTCTTAGATACCTTTCTGGTGTCCACCGCCGTGAACCATACTCACTCACTCAGTTAAATAACTCCTTTCACATAAATCGTCAGAAGTTATGTTCAAGCATATAATGACCATATTTTGGATAATTGTACAAAGAACAAGAATTAATCCTAGAATGTTTACAATAAGATTCATTTCGGACGCTGAAATAATGCCGATGAGACGTTAAATTTTTACTTTTTTTTACGGACTATACGGACTATTTGTGGGGCGATAAGGGGTACAGGCCACGAGAAACTTTATAGAGAAAGCCATTACACCTTTTTACAAGAAGGAAAACATCTTTGCTGTTAGTGATTACATTTATAGAAATCGAACCAATATACAGGCTATATGTTGTAGAACAGAATGCTATGCCAAGTCATTCCTACCTGATACCATTAATGATTTGAATAGTCATCTGATATAGAGGATTATTAAACTTGGACAGTGTTAGTTATATACAGTTAAGCCATGATACCAGATTTTGTCACATAATCCTTTTATCGCCTCGGACTCGGTTGTAGTGATATAAACTTCCATCGACT